ATTATATGGATGCATTGGCCCCACAATAATATAAAGAATATAACAGTACAATATGAATGGACAACATATACTTTATGAATAAACTCGCAATACTATATGCATGAATAACTCTAACTTTACCAGTTTATACATTGTACTTATAATTTGTGGAACAAAACATACTATATTTTGTGATAAATTGAGTTGAACCAATTTCCTTGACACTTTAATGATGAATTAGTATGGGAGATGCATAAATTATGTTTTAGATGAATATTTTAAGTTTGATGAACATTGGTGTTACGTTTGGAGTCCACAAATGTGTTTGATTTCCTACATGATATTCACATATAGTACAAGACTTGTATGTAGGACTAGTATTTTTCTCAAATGTTACCATAATTGATGTTGATGGATTCCCACGTTATCTCATTTCATGTAATTAGTCATAAAATGAAGGAATGCCTTAGAAAATGAGTTTATATTGTTGCATTGGTTCCAAAATAATATTTATAAAGCAAGCGTACCATATATAAATGGAGAACATCTATTTTTTCATTGAAAGAAGCGTACTCTATGAATGGACAACACGAGCATCACTGGTGTAATGCATTCATTTCTATGTAGAATAAATTGTACCATAATTATAATGAATTGAATTGTAACAATTTCATAATAAATTTAGTGATTAGTGAGTGTGGGAAGGACATAAAATATACTTTAAATGATTATTTTAAGATTGATGAACAATGGTGTTGCGTTTAGAGTTCAAAATGCCTCAAAATGCCGACATGATACTCACTTAGACAACACATACTTCACCACTGAACCAAATATACTTGATTCTAGACGTAAGCGTACTATGTTGACGCAGTTATTCTACTACATGACTAGCAATACTAGTACTTTTCATCTCTTATTTCAACACCATCCAACCACACTAGCAATACTATTGTTTAATACGACATATACTACTGCAGTCAGATAAAACACAAAATGCTTCAAAAAATAATACGAGAAGCGTCTTTCTTAGAACATATATTAAACTATCAAACATCTTTTAAATATGTGACTAGAAAAAAAAAATAAAATCTTGTTTCTTCCCCTTCACAATTCTTCGAGAGTGAATCTCTTTCCTCTTTTCATTTTGTTTTCTTCACGAGTTTTTTCTTGCGCCTTTTCATTTGTTGTTTAAAGAAAAATAACTGAAAATTGAGTTTTGAATTGGAACGGGGCAAGGAAAGAAAAGAGAAAAGAGAAAGAGAAAAATAGGAAAGAGGAAAGAGAAAAGAAAGAAAAAAGGAAGAGAGAGAAAAATTAAATGAAGAGAGAGACAGAGAGAGAAAAAAATAATATAATAATATAAACATAGGGACTGAACTGCATGTGAAACTCTGCAGTAGGGACTGATCCGCCTATAAAACGTCTGTAGGAACTGATTCGCGCTTTAAGTTTGTATTTGGGGATTTATCTATACTTACCCCTATTTTTGTCTGGACCATTTTATAAAGCAGTAGTCAATGATGGGCTTTAAAATATATGTAAATATTATAATTGTATTAATTTAAACTATATTTTTTTTGGGATCCTCATGCACGCCTTGTAGTCAGGCCCAGCATCGACCTCCACGAAAAAAATTGAAAGCCTATTCTGATTGTGCAATTTTTTCTTCGAGTCATGACATATATGGTGTTGGCTTCACTGTGCGTGATTGGGATGCTAGATTTATCTATGCTAATGCCAAATCATTCGAAGGGTCTTTTGATGCTTTAATGGGTTGAGCCGTTTTGGGGCTTTGAAATCTGCGGAGCTTGTATATTGATACAAGAGCTCGGCTTCAACGACATTTTATCGAATAAGAATGTATTGTTGTTTCATTGATTAATTTTGATACGCTGATGTATCGCTCTCCTCTTGGAGGTCTCATACAAGACTATGGTTGGAATGAAATATGAATATTCGATTATCACCGATTTAAAATGTGAATGTAAAATATTATATAATGGGCTTATTTTATATAACTCTCTAGATGCTTAATAAATTAGAGATAAACTCAAGTGAAAATCATGCTTAGGAATAACCCCCTAGAGATGGGAAAGTACTACACTGCCCTTATATGCAATTTTCGCCCAAACTGCATCCAGTATTTCTGGTCCTGCGTTTAGCATTTTTCGTACTGCATTTAGTACTTTCACTCATTATTTATTTTATTTTTATAAAAATCTGTTTTTATTTATTTTGTTATTATTTATATGTATATTTTTTTAAATAATTTTTATATTTTTTTATTTTTCTTAATTGTTTTTTTTAAGTTTTTTTAAAAATCGATATGTTTACTGTACTGAAAAGGACTACATGTAATTGTAGTAAACTATAGTCATTCGTAGTAATATTCTTTCTTTTTACCCAATTTTTTAGTCGACCAATTATGTACAAATACGAATATCAAAGCTTATACAAAAAAAAAAAAAAAAAAAAAAAAGAATCATAAACACCAACAAAAAAAAAATCACAATTTAAATATTTATATTATAAATCAACTCATAACCAACAAATATAAGTCGAAATACAAAATTACATGCATATGTTCTTATATGTTACTATATATTACTAGTAATGTATAGTTGTGTACGCAGTGTGTAAAACACTGTAACTTGAAGCAGATGTCAAAATCATCAAATTTGTCTTCAACTTCAACCGTTTTACACCTTCATGGAGAGGATCAATGACTTCCATTAAGCTGCAATTGCAAGATCAAAACAAAAAAAAAATATTTTAGTGAAAATTAAGAAACATTGAAAAAACATCAAACCACTAAAAAATCGACAAACACTACGAGATCGAGAGCTAGAGAGAGAGAGGTTATAACTGCGAAATGCTACGAGACCAAACCGCCAATGACTCCTCACCCCAAGTGCCTCCTACCAAAATCCTAGCCGCCGCTAACCATCCAAGGTTCCGCGCTCGCAATGATAGAAATAAATCTTACAATAAAAATTGAATGAATTGCCATTAAAATATAGATTTCGACGAGAGGAATCCAACGGTGAGTAGCCCATCAAACTCCGACTAGCGGAATACAAATTATACCTCCGGTAAGACCCACCGTCGTCGAAATACGCGCCGACTGTAAAACAATTGAAGAAACAGATCGAGAGATCCAAACTGTATGAAATCCCCACCAAAAGAAATAGCTTGACGAGAGGAATCTAACGATAGTTAAACCATCGAATTCCGATCACTGGAGAGAGAGAAATGACTCCGGGAAGCAACATCGCCGGTTGGTGACCTATGGACCCGGGATTTCGATCTGAGAATTGAGTGTGGAAGAGAGAGACGACTATGAGTTGGTTATGGTTTAAAACCGATTTTAAAATGACATTTTATGTACTTCAAAGTGACCAAGAAGACCCAAATTAATATCAAAATGGAGGGAGTTTGCATCACGATATAATATCCTTGGTGGTTAATTCCAAGTATTTTTCATGAGGGGTTCCTAAAATAATCTCTTATATAATATTTCCATTAAATATCTCAAATTATTAAGCTAGATATATCGGCCCAAATATTGTTGGGAAATGAAACTTCAAATTCAAAAAAAAATAAGAAAGGGATTTACTATTCATGATGCATTTTTCAGTTGAAGTGCGGTATAATTTATTTGTTGAGAAACCCTTTTAACTTTGCTCCAAATTCTCTCAACCTTCAAATTTTAAAACTTTGCAAATTATCAAATTTTTTTCCAAAAATATGCTCGAAACCCATTCCGATTATTTGGTAGAAAAACACGCCTTTGTCGACTTTCGTCTTTTTTTTATAGGGTAAATTCCAGTTTTCCTCTTTTACTTTGGCTCGTTATCATTTTATCCGCTTCTACTCTTGATTGCATTGATATGTCTCGCTGCACTTGAAAAATTGTCTCATGACCATCGCTGTTAGTTTTCAGACATTTGACCTTAACGCCGTTTGATATAAGCTCTGAAATTACAAAAAAACGCCACATCTCTCGGTTTAAATAGTTATTAAAAAATAAAAATAAATAAATAAACAAAAAGTGAATAATAAAAAAATCAAGACAACAAGAAAACATAGTTCACGACGTCAGCCACAATTTATTTTTAATTTTTTTAATAATTATTAAACTGTGAGGGGTGACTTTTTTGTAATTTTCAGACTTAGATCAAACGGTGTTAATGTCAAAGGTCTGAAACTAACGGCGGTGGACACATTGAGACAACTTTTCAAATACTAGGGGGTAAATCGATGCAAAGTAGAAGGGGGTACAGTGATGTCGAGACAAAGTACAAGTGAGAAAATGGAATTTACCCATTTTTTAATGCATTTCGTGGAACATTACACGAAATGAAATTGCATTTCGTACCGAAGTACAAGAGAGAAAATGGATTTTACCCTTTTTTTAATGCATTTCGTGGAACATTACACGAAAGACAATTGCATTTCGTGTAATCCCACACGAAATGATTTTTTTAACGTTGTTCCATTTTGTGTGAAATTACATGAGGCATTTCGTGTAATTTCACACGAAATGGATTTTTTCTTTGGACCATTGCATGTAGATTTACACATTTTAGAACCATTGATTGTGTAAATCTACACGAAACAAACCAAAATTTTGAAAATTGTTCTATTTCGTGCTACGAAATATGAAATGAGAAAGTCCATTTCATGCTTTGTAGCAGGAAACAAAGGTGATTTTTTCTTTTTTCCCAATTCAATTATAAACTTATTCCGATCGATGCAATTTGTTAACTAAACATTAAATTTACTCAAACAAGTAAAAAAAATATTTCAAATATTTGTCAGAATTGCTCGTCTAATTCGTGAAAATTCGAAAAAGGTTTAAGAGGATTTTAATTTTTTTGAATAAAACTTACAAATAAAATAAAGTCATGGTGCAAGCAAGCTAGTAAAACTCACACTATGAATTAGGGTCCAACAAACACTAACCCTTTTCAGTTCTCACTAGCTTTTTCTTCACCTAATCCCTTGTGTGGAGTATGTACCAATTACCAATTACCAGTATCTAAATGCAGTAAGAAAAATCTCATCACGTTAATTAAACAATTAATTTCCTAGAATCAATTCTGTCCTTTTTCAGAAAACGCAACCACGGAAAAAACGTGGCCCTCCTCATAACCCACAATTCGGCTCATAATCATCAACAAGAAAAAAAAAAAAAAAAAAACTGATTCTTGTTAACAGTCAGATTCAGCAGAAAAAAGTAAGTAGACACAAGTATTCTTGGATTCATGCAGGAGGCACTCATAATTTCAGGTTACCCTCAAACTATCAACTCTTTTATCGATAATTCGCCCCTTTTCCTGTGTTTTTTTTCAATATGGAAATCTTGTGTTGTTTTGATTTCAAGTTACTTATTTGCTGCTCAATTAACAAAAAATGGCAGATGGGCTGTTTTCTCGATGCTGTAATTATGTGATTTGTGTGTGTATATCTATGCTGGTTCTTTCTGAGTTTGAGTCTTTAGATTAGCACTCCAAGTGTTCGATGAATTGCCGATTACAATACCTTAGTAGAAGTTTTATAGTTTTCTTGATATTGTATCCGCAATTAATTCTATAAGCAGTCATTTTAATCTCCTCCTTTCTATAATTTTCAATCAGTTCCAATGGAAGAAGCAGTTCCAAAACCGAAAACCTTCTGGAACAAACTCACCGCACTCACAACCGCAGCTTCCAACACGTACAAAAGCAAGCCCGTCTCCCATTGGACACTTCTAACCCTAAGCAGCATTTCGATGCTAGTAGCTTTCCCCGCTTCATCTCTTCTCTCTCGTGTTTACTACTCCAACGGTGGGACCAGCAAATGGATCATATCTTGGGTGGCAGTAGCCGGTTGGCCGATCCCCTTGCTCGTCTTAATCCCATCATACTTCTTCCTAGGTTTATTCCCCACCCCTTTAACCTTAAAACTTGTCTTATCCTACATCGGATTGGGATTCCTAACCGCGGCAGACAATCTCATGTACGCGTACGGATACGCGTATTTGCCAGCTTCGACCGCGTCTCTACTGGGGTCCACTTCACTCATATTCTCCGCCTTCTTTGGGTACCTCTTGGTCAAGAACAAAGTCAACGCCTCGACTATAAATGCGGTTGTGGTCATCACATGTGCGATGGCTATTATAGCGCTCGATTCGAATTCTGATAGATACGGATACGTCACGAAAAGTCAGTACGCGATGGGGTTCGTATGGAATATTCTTGGATCTTTATTGCACGGATTGATCTTCGCTCTGTCGGAGTTAGTTTTTATAAAATTGCTCGGGAGAAGATCTTTTCATGTGGTTCTTGAGCAGCAAGTGATGGTTTCTTTATTCGGATTTCTTTTCACAACGATTGGTTTATTAGTGAACAACGATTTTCAAGAAATGGCGTACGAGGCAAAGGTTTTTGAAGGCGGTAAAAGCTCGTATCTGTCTGTTCTTATATGGAGTGTGATTACTTTTCAATTGGGGATTTTGGGAGGTACAGCTGTCGTTTTTTTAGCGTCCACTGTCCTAGCTGGCGTTCTGAACTCGATAAGGGTCCCACTTACGAGCATTGCAGCTGTTTTGATATTGCATGATCCGATGAGCGGTTTCAAGATTCTGTCTTTGGTTATTACGTTTTGGGGATTCAGTTCTTACATATACGGGAATTATTCTCAGAGTAAAGACTCGTCTTGACCGTGGGCGAGAGTGTATCTCTATTCTTTTACGATAATATATGTGTTTGTATTTAGCTGTGAAGGATGTTTAATGGCATCTGCAGAAGCGTATATATATATATATATATATATATATATATATATATATATATATATATATATATATATATATATATATATATATATATATATGTTTTTTTCTATTTAATTTTTGGGACCAATGTCTTTGAGGGCACAGATCTGCTCTTCTCCCATAGCAGACATGACAGAAACCACAAGGTCCTTTCCTTCCTCGAACCCACCTTTAATCTGCATCCAGTCGAAACCAAAATTTCCCAAATTCAGTAATTTAAATCAATTTTAAAATCACACGACAATATGGTCAATAATTGAATATAAAAGAAAAATAAAAATATCTTTTCACCTGGCTAAGCAGACTGTCATCGGTGGGAAGCTTCAAATCATCTTTCGTGTTGCCATTTTCAGTCAGAAGAGAAACCTACGACACAAAAAATAAATTGTCGAATTTCAGTTTTTCAAAAGGAATTTTTTTTCAATGAAGGTGTCATAAAGAGAATGGGAACAAGGAATAAAATAATACAAAAAATAAACTTACAAAACCATCTTCGGAGATGTCAATGAGCTGATAGTCGGTACGGTTCACATGAGGCACCTGAAAAAAAGAAAAGATAATCCAGAATATCAGCCGAATTATGTCGATAATTTGGTGGCATCTTTCTTAAAACAAACTCGAGAGAAAAAAAAAACTAATTAACAGCGGATTACATCACAATTATGAGAGGATGGAACGATATCTTCGAGCTTTTTGCCATTGAAAATGTCGATTGCCACAAAGTGACACTTGGCGTGCCCATGCTTGCCAGTTTTCGAGGTGGAGACTTCAACGACCTATTCAATATAACAGAAAACAAAATAATCATATCAGTTTTTAGTGAGAAATAATTCATCGAAAGAAATGGAAGTTTCAGGTAATTCATGAGCCATTGTAGCATTACTTTAAGGCACCAAAAGAAAGAAAAAAAACAACACAGTAGAATAATGGAAATTTAATTAATAAACACAACTTCCCAAAAATAAATGTGTGTTGAAACACAAAAAAATTGTCACTCTTAACAATTTAGCAAAATTAAAATGTTTGAAACAAATTTTGCAAGGGTCCCATAAGTAGTATCATTTTGTTTGGTTTAATTCGGCACAAAGAAACAAAAATATCTAGATTCGACATGTAAGAAGGAACCTCGTTGGGAGAAGTACGTGCACATGCATTAGGACTTAAAAGACATTACAATTCGTAAAAAAAGGATAACAATCAAATTTTCTACCATGAATAATTTGAATTGCTTTTAGATGTGTGTAAAAGGACACATGTTTCTTCGAGGCTAGGGCCAGTTTGGCTAAACTTATTTTAAACAACTGATAAACTCTATGATAAGCTGTTTTATGAGCTTTTAAGCTATTTTTACTCATTATAAGATCTTAAATAAAAAAGTGGGATAGATGAACTTTTTAAAAAAGATCTTAAAAAGCTCTAATTTTTTTAGTTTTTTAAGATCTTTTTGAAAAAAATTACCAAACAGTTTGGAAGATATATATGTTCTTAAACATCTTATAAGCTCTTCTTAACAGCTTATAAGCTTAACCAAACACCCTTTTACTCCGAAAATATATATACTTGGAAACAAAAAGGCTTATCACAAAGAAATAATTTCTTGATTATCACGAGTGCAGCAAGAATTTAAACCGCTATTTCAAGGAGGTGATACGAATTTTACAAAACATGGAATAGGATCAGTACATATAAACTTGGAGCAGGTATTTCACACAATAGTAACTCGAATTACATCCCGAACAAGTTGAATTAACTAAATGCACTAAAACATCAAAGATGAATATTAACCGTTCAATACGGAAAATGAAATATACGGTTCTTATTATTAGCTCCTGAATCGAAGAATGACGAATACAAATTAAAATGGCAGCCACAAGGTTACCGTTGACTATTGAACACACGAAAAAAAAATGTGGCAAAATTGATCTTAACGAACTGTATATCAAATAAAACCTAAATTCAGCTCGATTGAAACAAATAACTCTGTATTCAGAACTGTTTAGCACATAAGTACATAAACCCTAGCTAATAGCTATGATCAAAATTAAATCACCTAAGAAATGAGATAAACGCAATTAAAACGAGAATTAATGCTAATTACAACAATAATTAACCAAAGAAAAGAAGAAAACTCTAAATGTAGATCCACCAAGATCTAATTTAACAAACACAAATCCATTACGAAATGAATAAAAAACAACATCCCCGAAGTATAGAATATTAGAATCGAATCTCCACCGGAAAAATAAATAAAGAAGAGAGAGAGAGAGAGAGAGAGAGAGAGAGAGAGAGAGAGAGAGAGAGAGAGAGAGAGAGAGAGAGAGAGAGAGAGATCGGACCTTGCAGGGTCTGGCCTTGATGACGATGTAACCACCCTTGCGGATGGTGCCAGCTTGCTGAGGGTAAGTCTTGGATGCACCGGCGTCCGCCTTAGATTCGAACTGATGCTCCTCGTCCGACATCTTCTCTCTCTTTCTCTCCTGTTTCTCTCTCTAGAGTTTATTTTGTTGTTGATTCAACTCTCTTGAGAGGGTGGAGATAATGACTAGAGGGTGTTATGGTAAAAGAACATAAGTTAAAACAAGGGCAAATTCCACTTTCTCCCCTAATACTTTGTCTCGGTATCACTTTATCCCCTTCCAGTTTTGATAGCATCGATTTGCCCTCCTGCACTGAAAAATTGTCTCAATGTGCCCTCGCGGCTAGCTGTCACACATTTGATATTAACATCGTTTGGTCTAACATCTGAAATTACAAAAACGCCACCCCTCCCAATTTAAATAATTATTAAAAAAAAAATCAAGACAACGGAAAAATAATCCACGACGACAACCACAATTTATTTTTATTTTTCTATTTCTTTAATAATTATTTAAACTGGGAGGAGTGACATTTTTTGTAATTTTCAAACCTTAAACCAAACGGTATTAATGTCAAATGTCTGAAAACTAACGGCGAAAGCCACATTGAGACATTTTTCAAATGCATGCGGCAAATCGATGCAATCAAAACTAGAAGGGGATAAAGTGATATCAAGGCTCAAGCCAAAGTACAAAAGGGGAAAATGTTTACCCTTAAAACAATATAAAAAGTTATTACTAATTAATCTGATTTTTTTAGAGAAAAGGTCTTTATTTATTTATTTATTATTTTTTAATTTTTAGGAGGAATTTTTTTTCTTATTTAACTAAATTACCTATTTATACTTTTCAACCTTTTTTTCCCCTCGTTTCATTAATCCATCTATAATGTTGGAGTAATTGACAAAAATAATAAATTGTCTTAAAACTCTAAAATAACACTTAGTATAGAAAATTATTATATACTAAAGTAACACTTAAAAACTAAAAATGGCTACATTTATTAATTTAACATCTAAGAAGTCCTTTACTAATTGAAATTACTCAAAACTATTTCAAACACTCAAATTAAAAATTTCGAAACTCTTATTCATCCTAATTTATCCATCGACGACTCACAGTGGCGGGTCTTCGGGCATCAAGTGGCGTTATAGGATGTTTGAAAAACTCGATCACACAAGATATTCGTGGATATTTGATCATGTGTCACAAAACATCATCACGGGGTCGGGGCTTGATTTTGGTGAAAATATTCTGACGCTCAAGTCATTTCTATATGATAGGAGAATTTAGAGAACTCAAAAAGCTGTTCGTGAATTATGAATTATGTACCCTTGATTTTGGAGGTTTTCGAGTATTTAAATGGAGAAACATATTCTCATGAGAGCCTCTTAATTTGGGTCAACTTGGGCCTTAGCTAATTTGGGCTTGTATTATTAACACTACGCCAAAATCCATTTCAGGTGACGAAAAATTGCGACGAAAAAAGCTTGTTTGCGACGAAAAAAAGCAATTTGCGACGAATTGATTGCGACGAAACGGAAGCAAAGAAAAAGTCAAAAAACTGGCCGTCGCAAATGCTTGCGACGAAATGTAAAAAGAGTCGCAATATTTGCGACGTTTCAGGAGAAAAGTCGCAAACCTTCATTTTTTCGTCAAGGCAGATACTGCGACGGAACTTTCAGGAATCGTCGCAAATGTTTGCGGCGTTACCACAAAATCGTCACAATGTTTGGCTTTACATTTTCAACATAAAATAGATAAATCGTCGCAATATTTTGTTATACATTGCGACGAAAAAGTATTAAACGTCGCAACTATATATTTATTTTAATTCTTTTATTTGTTGATTTCATTTGTTTAATTAATAGTTAATTATCCTGTAACTATAAACAATACCAATAAATTCAATTTATCAAATACACAAAAGCATTGAACAACTCAAATTTTATATCCTTAAGTTAAATCATCAAACGATAAAAATAAATCATCCAAACTAGAAATTAAAGAATACAAAAATGTTGTAGCATTACAAATAAAAGATATGTTAATCTCCAATTTTCTCCTTCATCTTCATTAGAGTTAGTTGTCGGCGCCGCCGACAAAGGAATTGTGTTTCCCATTCTCATTCTCAATCTGTTGAAAACATACAAATCACAATCAATATTCAATCATTAAAAAGCCATATAGGATACTTGAATCTTGCAGTTAGCAGATAATAAAAACGTAGCATGAGGAAATAATACGGAAACAACAAATTGTTATATGAAGCAGTACCAACCTTGAGTGGCTCGTTATCTTTCCTGAAGTTAATCGAAAATCTCCTGCACATATTGCAGCAAATACAAGAGCATGGTGACTGAAAGATAAATATAACTATCATACAACTAAGAACATATATACAAATGTTTTGAATTACATAAGTCGCCAAATTTTAATTATGCACAAATATATGGCCCAATGCGGCAATTAGCGTATACCTCTGCTACTTGATGGTCTTACAAACCTCAAAATTAGACTTCAAACCCACACAAAATTACCATCAACACAAAAAATTTAGTCCACATATATATATTATAGCTTTAGCAAACCAACTGTTCTTATTCATCTGATCAACAAAACACATCATATGCAAGTCCAATACCCAAATATTTTACAACTACTTGTCCCAAAGTTGAGCCGACTTGGGCTTGGTTTTTGTGTCTCTATGGGTTTGGGAATATGAGCATTTGGGTTTGGGCCCATAATAAGCTCCCTACTCTCGATCGAGTCTTGAGTATCGAAATTGTGGAGAGTAATTAGTGTGTGTAGTCATATTCGGAATGTTTGTGATTTGGTTGTGAAAACAACTTGGTAAGTGTCATCAACAATGCTTAGAAATGGTGATTGTTTGCCCTTGACAAGTGATTTGGTTGTGAAAGCAACTTGGTAAGTGTCATCAACAATGCGTAGAAATCGTGATTGTTTGCCATTGATAACTAGGTAACTTGTGAGACAATGGGTGGCTCAACTATCAATAGAAATGGTGGTTGACAGCTTGCAGTGCCAATGGCAAGTAGACAGCTCGTGAGGCCTGACAGCTCAACGATTAGTAGAGATGGCGGTTGACGACTCACCATGTCAATGTCAAGTAAATAACTCGTGATACAGTGGGAGACTCAATAATTTGTAGAAATGATGGTTGCTAACTCGTCATGTTATTGACAAGTAGGCAACTCGTCAGACTATGGGAGGCCGAACGATTAGTAGAACTGAAGGTTGGCAGCTTGTCATGCCAACCGCAAGTAGGCAACTCATCAGACTGTGGAAGGCTCAACCATTTATATAAATGTTGATAAAGGGTTAGCCATGTCAATTGCAATTTGGTGTCTCAATGTATGGTGTTAGATAACTCGCCACTTCAAGTTGTCGGCTCTTGAGAGGTTGCGCATCCATGCACAATTTGTGATGTCGTGCTGGACAGACGATTGAAGTGGGGAAAATCGTATTGGAATGAGTCACTACGGGGTAGCACGCATTAACAAAGGATCGTTGTGTATTGAGGGCTAATAAGTATTGTGGATTATTAGGTCCTCGAGAGAGCTGTGCGAGGGTGATTTGAGAGCGCCAAGTCAGGGGCGTCGTATTCTCAAAGGATAAGCACAAGATATGGTAAGTTATTAATTGAGCCAATTGGGGACGCACTGCATGTTGTCATCTCAAAGAATGTCGGTAATCGATTGAGCCACAAAGGGACGGACAATGGGTATAGTGTACCGGATAGAAATGAGATAGCTTAATGGGTGTCGTCTTGGAAGGAGATGGCTATGCAGTATGGCTATGAAGGAGATCGCTTAAGAGATGTAGTCATAGAAAAAAATGACCAATTAGGGGCTAGTCGTTGTAACCTTGGAGGCGTCGACTTGAATGAAAGTTGTCGATTGTGAGAACATGGATTTGAGGATGAAACCTACAAAATGATGATTCTCAGAAAAAAGGTGCACATGATGATGTATCACATAAGAAGGACATAAAAATGTGGGTAGAAGAGAATTCAAATTAACAATGATCAGATTCTTGATATTTCTCTACATCGACGGACAATTTTAAAGTCTTTAGTTTGTTCCTTGAACAAGTCGAAAGCACATTGTTTAGACATTTAAAGTCAAAAAAAAAATACGACAAGATTCAAATGATATTAAACCTTTTCTTAAGGAGGAAAATAAAAAATCTCGACTGCAATTCTGCTTGTCAATGCTTGATAGTTCTAGCATATAATATGATCTAGTTTTTAGGGGAATGTATAACATTGTACATATCGATGAAAACTGATTCTACTTGATGAAGAAATCATAATACTACTACTTATTGTCCGACGAAGAAGATCCATTACACACTTGTAAAAGTAAAAACTTCATCGACATGGTCATGTGTTTTGTTGCTATTGCTAGTCCAAGGTCCGATGAAGAAGGGAATGAGATTTTTTCGGGAAAATTGGAGGGTTTCTCTTGTTACACAGGAGCCGACTAAAAGAAATAATATGAATAGAGTTGCAGGTACGCTAGACACGAAACCAATTGCATCGGTGAAGAAAGACGCTATAAGGTCATACTTAATTGAAAACTTCATCCTTGCGATCAAGAAAAAATGACCGAGAAAAGACTCGAGATATCCAACATCCATTCAACGAGACAATGCACGAACACATATTGGTCAAAATGATATTGATTTTTTGTCGAGCAACGACGCAAGATGGATTTGATATTCTTTTGATGTGTCAACCTCCAAACTCTGCAGATTTGAATGTTTTAGATTTTTGGTTTTTTCACTGCTATTCAATCAATACAGTACAAGATGACACCTAAAACCGTTGATGAGCTTGTTACTGTTGTGGTCACGATATTTAGAAATTTTTGAATGAGGAAATCCAAGCATATATATATTCTTAACATTGCTAACGTGCATGATAGAGATAATGCGAACATAATGTTCTAATAAATTCAAGATCCCACTTATTAATAAAGCAAGGTTAGAAAGATAGGGGCAACTACGCCAACTACCTACTCAAATGAAATGTGACCAGAAATTAGTACAAAACGTTCAAAAGTGTTTAGGTAAAATTGTGTTTTGAGATAATGAAAATGTCCATCTCTAGTTTTTGTTTCTTACATTGATCTCTCATAAAATTATATCTACTTAA